GCGCGATTTTAAAGACCTAAAAAACATATTTGAAGGTCTTGCTATGTAATGATTTATTATTTTTTTTGAATTATTATAATGTATTGAATCATTCATACAAAAAAGTATACCTGGATTTTCGTGCTAAATATTGGTTTTTGTCATTTTGATAAAGTAAGGTTTATCCGCGAAATCGCGCGATTTTAAAGACCTAAAAACATATTTGGAGGTCTTGCTATGTAATGATTTATTATTTTTTTGAATTATTATAATGTATTGAATCATTCATACTAAAAAGTATACCTGGATTTTCGTGCTAAATATTGGTTTTTGTCATTTTGATAAAGTAAGGTTTATCCGCGAAATCGCGCGATTTTAAAGACCTAAAAACATATTTGGAGGTCTTGCTATGTAATGATTTATTATTTTTTTGAATTATTATAATGTATTGAATCATTCATACTAAAAAGTATACCTGGATTTTCGTGCTAAATATTGGTTTTTGTCATTTTGATAGAGTAAGGTTATTCCGCGGAACCGCGCTGTTCAAAAGACCTAAAAAACGTATTTACAGGTTTTGCTATGTAATGATTAATTATTTTTTTGAATTGTACTAATCTATTGAGTCATTCATACTAAATATTATATATGGATTTTCGTGCTAAATATTGGTTTTTGTCATTTTGATAAAGTAAAACATATTTGGAGGTCTTGCTTTGTAATGATTTATAATTTTTTTGACTTATAATAAGGTATTGAAACATTCGTACTAAAAATTATATCTGAAATTTCGTGCTAAATATTAGTTTTTGATATTTTGACAGAGTAATGTTTTTCCGCGAAACCGCGCACTTTTAACACGTTAACTGCCGCATTAGAGTAAAAAAAAAACGTATCTAGGGGGCCACCAATATATTTGTTTATTTTCAGCTTATATTAAAGTGTATATAAGAACACATTTTGTGACAAAAAGACACAAAATAGTCTTAGGGGCCTCAGAAGCAAAATGACAGCTTCAGAGCCACGCGAATTATGTTTAATTCATTTATAATTTTGGCAAAATTGACCTCCCACTCTAAAGACTATAGAAAGTTGATTACAGGTACAGCACTTATCAATGCTTACATTATATATATAAAATAAGAAAAAAATATAAGTATTACAAAATTCAAAGAAGAGGTAACAATGGGTCTTTTAGGTGAAGAAACAAGAGAAGATTATACAGCTACAACCAGAGATGTGATGTAACAAAAAGCTGAATTTGACAGAAAATAGGTTTCTCTAAAAGCCAAATAAACTTTGTTTTATTCTTAGGCATAAATCTACTAGATTGTTAACTTTTGCTTTTAATTTTTTGTTATAATTACCTTTATTACTTTGTTATTATTTGGACCAATGTATCTCATATATATTTTAGTTTATTTTTATAATAATAATAATAATAATAATACTCTCCCTAATTCACCCCCTTACGAGTGAATTTCAACCCCTGAAGTCGACTGAACGACTTGTGTAGGGGAAGGGACGGCTATTATTATTATTATTTGCCGTGGCGCTCCGGGGCGACTTAAAGATGATTGATGGTGCCATTTGACTTACAGGTGAGGAAAACCCGGAAAACCTCACCCACCATCATCGAGACGGTAATGTATGGCGAATTTTTTTAATCTGCATGTCATATCAACAGAAATTAAATTTCTATTAATACGCCACACATCAAATCCTAAACCGAACCATGCAATTTAATTAAAAATCCACATGGTCCGGGCTGGGATTCGAAACCCAGCAGTCTCAGACTCATAAACTTGCCTATAAATGAATATAAGCGCGATAGACCGCTACACCACCGTCTCGATATAAATAACCATTTATTTCAATCACGAAAAACAACAAATAATCCTTTTAACAATACATACTTGTTTAATTAATTGGTTTTTAAATTATTTTTGCATAAACCTAAAAAGTAGTTATGGCCATATTTCTAAACAACAAAAAATACTTTTAGAGATCCCTCAAGCAAAAACGTTTTAAAGTTATATGATATTTGCACGGCCCCCTGGGCTCAAGGCTCTGTTAATCATGTTTAATGTACATGGCGGTTAACGTGTTAAGGACATAAAAACGTATTTAGAGCTCTTATTTTTTTTTTGAATTATAATGTTTTTCTGCAAAACCGCGCATTTTTAAAGACCTAAAAAATGTATTTAGAGGTTGCTATTTGATGATTTATTATTTTTTTTATTGATTCTTGTTTATTGAATCTTTGGTATAAAAATTTTATTTGAAATCTCGTATTAAATGTTTGTTTTTGTTGGTTTTATTGAGAAATATAAATCCGCGGAAACGCTTGATTTTAAGGACTTACAAACTATATTTAGATGTCTTACTATTTATTACAAAAAGCAAGAATATTAACGGTTCCAAAACGGAACTCTGAGGAACCCCAAAAGAAACAGGATACATTTTTGATATTTCCGAATTTATTTTAACTAACAATTTACGGTTTTCTTAAGTAGGATATTATCTAGCAGTTTCCCACGAATGTCCAAAGTAGTTAGCTTATTTAAAATGAACTATTTAGGGTGTCAAATGTCTTTGACAGATCGAATGAAATGACATATTGAGATATGGAGGGAACAACCTCATTAACTGAGAGTGTGATAAAAATTATGTTATCAGTATGAAGAACAAATGTCAAATCTATAGTGCCTGAGTTACTAGACATGTTACAGTTTGTATTTATGAATTTCATGGTGTTAATACATTTTTACAGACATTTTTGCTTGCCAAATTTTTGTTACTGTATGTCAAGCATTCATCCATGTTTCATCTAAATAAAATACCTGTTTATGCTGATTCCTTGCGTCCGCTATTTTCATTAAATAATTATTTCCCAAGCAATTTATTTAATGTAATATTTATGCAGATGAAAATATGATATATTTGGAAGAGTGGAGCTATTTTTTATTCCCCAGTGTAATTTTTTAGTTGGAATTTCATTTAGAAAGAAAAAAAATGTATCATTTATTGCATTATTTAACCAAGTTTCAATAAAGGTCTTGTTTCTTCCTGGGGCCTTTTAGGATGTGAGATTTCTTATAAAGTTTGACTTATCTGCCAAAAGAAAAGGTTTATTAAAGCAAAAACCGTGGAAAAAGAAATAAGAAATCTTTTATTATGCCGATCAGATTAAAATTTTCATTTTAACTACAAATAAGCATTGAAGAATGAGTTATAAATAAAATGACTACCTCTTGAACTTGTGCTACATTCTGCAAATTAAATCACTGCATTCTTTCTTTTTCTCTAGACTAGATTGTTAACTTTTGCTTTTAATTTTTTGTTATAATTACCTTTATTACTTTGTTATTATTTGGACCAATGTATCTCATATATATTTTAGTTTATTTTTATATTATAAATAACCATTTATTTCAATCATGGAAACCAACAAATAATCCTTTTAACAATACATACTTGTTTAATTAATTGGTTTTTAAATTATTTTTGCATAAACCTAAAAAGTAGTTATGGCCATATTTCTAAACAACGTTTTAAAGTTATATGATATTTGCACGGCCCCCTGGGCTCAAGGCTCTGGTAATCATGTTTAATGCACATGGCGGTTAACGTGTTAAGGACATAAAAACGTATTTAGAGCTCTTATTTTTTTGAATTATAATAATATTTTTCTGCGAAACCGCGCATTTTTTAAAGACCTAAAAAATGTATTTAGAGGTCTTGCTATTTGATGATTTATTATTTTTTTTAATTGATACTTGTTTATTGAATCTTTGGTATAAAAATTTTATTTGGAATCTCGTATTAAATGTTTGTTTTTGTTGGTTTTATTGAGAAATATTTATCCGCGGAAACACTTAAAAACTATATTTAGATGTCTTACTATTTATTACAAAAAGCAAGAATATTAACGGTCCCAAAACGGAACTCTGAGGAACCCCAAAAGAAACAGGATACATTTTTGATATTTCCGAATTTATTTTAACTAACAATTTACGGTTTTCTTAAGTAGGATGCTATCTTATGTAGCAGTTCCCACGAATGTCCAAAGTACTTAGCTTATTTAAAATGAACTATTTAGGGTGTCAAATGTCTTTGACAGATCGAATGAAATGACATATTTACCTTTGGATCTTGAGTTTGAGATATGGAGGGAACAACCTCATTAACTGAGAGTGTGATAAAAATTGTTATCAGTATGAAGAACAATGTCAAATCTATAGTGCCTGAGTTTCTAGACATGTTACAGTTTGTATTTATGAATTTCATGGTGTTAATACATTTTTACAGACATTTTTGCTTGCCAAATTTTTGTTACTTTATGTCAAGCATTCATCCATGTTTCATCTAAATAAAATACCTGTTTATGCTGATTCCGTGCGTCCGCTATTTTCATTAAATAATTATTTCCCAAGCAATTTATTTAATGTAATATTTATGCAGATGAAAATATGATATATTTGGAAGAGTGGAGCTATTTTTTATTCCCCAGTGTAATTTTTTAGTTGGAATTTCATTTAGAAAGAAAAAAAAATGTATCATTTATTGCATTATTTAACCAAGTTTCAATAAAGGTCTTGTTTCTTCCTGGGGCCTTTTTAGGATGTGAGATTTTTTATAAAGTTTGACTTATCTGCCAAAAGAAAAGGTTTATTAAAGTAAAAACCATGGAAAAAGAAATAAGAAATCTTTTATTATGCCGATCAGATTAAAATTTTCATTTTAACTACAAATAAGCATTGAAGAATGAGTTAAAATGACTACCTCCTGAACTTGTGATACATTCTACAAATTAAATCACTGCATTCTTTTTTTTTTTTCTAGACTATAGAGGCATACACAAAAGACAGTTATTTCCAAAATAATGTTGCCTTTTATTGTTTTTAAATAATAATAATAAAAGCATTTTATTGGTTATGAATATTACAACCAAATGGCCATCAACCTAGGCCCTTCAGCCATTAAATATTAAATAACTTGCCTTTATTATTTCTTTTAAGGTCCTTAAATAATGTCAGTCTTGAATGTCAAGAAACCATCATGACAGTAGTCAGCAACTGTACAATAATTTTAAAGTCCAGGCAACAGCAGCAACAACAACAGCAGCCAACTATACTTCGTTCGAGAGGCATAGATGGTGGAATAAATCCCTCTGTTTTTGCCCCACTCTATAATCATTCTGGAGTAGATTCAATTCAAGGACTCAACACAACTTTGGCAAATATGAACTTAGCAGGACCCACTAATTCTGCTTTCAACTTGCAAGGTGGTTTGGGACCTTTAGTTCAATCTCCCGGTTCTCCATCTAGAATTTTAAATGCCGGTCCATCTAATAGTCCATTTCCCATTATGCCGATGCAGCACCAAGGACCAACAGGAACAAGTTCTTCTCTGGTTCTCGGTGTTAATCAGATGAGCAATTTAGGCAGAATGGGGACAAATCCGACAATCGACAAAACACGATTACCGGAATATAATTTATTTCCCGACATTTCACCGCACGTATCCAAAGATATCGAGGATGAAGCTAACAATTACTTCCAGCGAATCTACAATCATCCTCCCAATCCTACGTTATCAATCGATGAAGTATTGAACATGTTGAAGAGGTTCCAGGATTCTCATAACAAGAGGGAAAAAGAGGTGAGGATTTAACAATTCGATTTGACCTGTTTTTCGTGTTTTGATGATATAATTAGTAGTCATATCTTAATAATATTATATTTAATTAATTTTAATATTATTATTGTTGAAACCGTTATAAATCAAAAAGCCTTAAAACAGAAATTGGTGTTATAGATACGACTTATAGCTGTTCTTAAAAAATACTGAGTATCTCTTATAAGAAAAATTTATAACATATAATAAATATGCTGTAAGAATATTTATATAACAATATTATAGTGCCATTTTGTTTTCAATAGCTAAATTGCATCATTTGCTATATTTATAAAACCTTTATAATGTTCTATAATTCAAAGGTTATAAGAAAAGTGTGCTGGTTGAGTTGTGTTATCATGGTTTTTATAATGTTTTATTTAACGGGCATAAATGCCTACTTGCTTGCGTTCGGAACTCTTAACAATAAAATAAAAAGTTATTTAAAACTAATTTTGTAATTTACATTTTATAAATTTAATTTTTAACAGGTATTCAACTGCATGTTAAGAAGCCTTTTTGAAGAGTACAAATTTTTTCCTCAATATCCCGATAAAGAATTGCACGTAACAGCGCAACTTTTTGGCGGCATAATAGAAAGAGGCATAGTAACATCGTACGTAGCCTTAGGTCTGGCGCTTAGATTCGTATTAGAGGCTTTAAAAAAGCCAGAAGGATCGAAAATGTACTATTTTGGAATAGCTGCTTTAGACAGATTTAAAAGTCGCTTAAAAGAATATCACAAATATTGCGAGCACGTCAGAGCTATTCCTCATTTCAGTGACTTTCCGCAACACCTTCAAGAGTATGTGGAATGTGGGTTACAGAGTTTGGAACCAACGCATAAACCAGATGGTCCTGTATTACCACCGAGTCTAGCAGCAATGTTGGCGCCTCCTAATGCTGCATCGACGGTTTATAAAACTACAAGCGTGTCTACTACAGTTCCATCTAAAGTTACCACACCATCTAATACAATGAGTTCTAGGCCTTCCATAGCTAACGCTACAAATATTGATACGCTTTTGGTGGCTACAGAGAAAGAAGAGAAAGCTATAGCACCGCCTGAACCTTTACAAGATAAAACTGCCTTTATTTTTAACAACTTAAGTCAATTGAATTTGAAACAAAAATGCGACGAACTTAAAGAATTAGTAACAGACGAATATTATCCATGGTTGGCGCAATACTTAGTTATGAAAAGAGCATCTATTGAATTTAATTTTCATTGTTTATACTCAAATTTCCTGGATACACTTGGTATAAACGAAATTCTGAGATTAGTAACAAGAGAAACTTTCAGAAACATTAGAGTATTATTACGATCTGACAAAGCAATTGCAAATTTTTCCGATAGGTCTCTATTAAAAAATCTAGGCCACTGGCTGGGTATGTTGACTCTAGCAAGAAACAAACCAATTTTACAAATCGATCTCGATTTGAAATCCCTTTTAACGGAAGCTTACCACAAGGGACAACAAGAACTCTTATACGTCGTACCGTTTGTAGCAAAAGTTCTAGAATCGTGCGCAAAAAGTAAAGTTTTCAAACCTCCAAACCCATGGACCATAGCTTTAATGAACGTTCTCGCCGAGTTACATTCCGAAGGCGATCTAAAGCTCACTTTAAAATTCGAAATTGAAGTTCTCTGTAAACACTTGGAAATAGACGTGACGCAATTAAAAGCTTCGGTATATCTCAAAGATCCAGATCGTATTAGAAAAATCGAATTTCAATTATCGCAACCGCTTAAAAAGGAAATTTTAATGCAGTCGAACGTTAATCAAGGAGGAAACCTGACCGACCAAGAATTGGCTAATATTATCCCTAGTCAGCAAACTAGTTCTCCTGTGGTGCAAAACAACAGTACCACTCCTACTTCAGCTTTGTCGGCACCTCCGGAGCCTCGATTTGGCTACTCTGATATTCATATTACTGGAATGCAGGCATTTCAGGCACATACAGTCATATCACCATCGATTTTGCTATTTCAAACGCAACCACAACTCAAAGCTCTGGTGCGCACTTCGATAGAAAGAGCTGTACAGGAATGGATAGCACCAGTAGTCGATAGGTAAATTAATAAAATACAAATTAATATATTTTTTTAATAATAATAATTGTTTTAGATCCATCAAAATAGCCTTACAAACTTGCGAACAAATAATTCGAAAAGATTTCGCGCTCGATCCCGACGAAACTCGAATGCGAATTGCGGCCCATTACATGGTCCGCAATCTTACGGCCGGCATGGCGATGATCACCTGTCGCGAACAGCTACTGACGGCGATTAATACGCACTTGAAACAAGCGCTTTTGACTAACATGGTGTCGCCTACCGTCCAACAGAAAGAGATGATCGATCAAGCGGCAAGCGTAATTGCTAACGACAACATGGAGTTAGCTTGTGCTTTTGTTCAGAAAACTGCCGTCGAAAAAGCCATTCCTGAAATTGATAAAAGGCTAATGAGCGAATACGAATTAAGAAAAATGGCTCGACAAGAAGGAAGGTAAGATTTAAATTGAGTTTAATTCTCCCACCATTAGTGCTCTGCCTTGTTGTCATGACAGTTAATCAGTAACGTTGGAAACAAACCTTGTACCATAGTCCAATCAAATAGACTTTCAAATCAAAATTTTGGAGGTTATAAGTCACTTTCGAGTATTTGGAAACGATATGGTGAACATATTTTGATTTTCAGGCTCCGGCAAATGGCGAAAAATAAGAAAATAAAGTGATTTTTTTAAGGTTATTTAAAAACGGTAGAAGCTATAAAAAAAAGTTCTGGATAAAAATTGTATAGCATAAAGTTTTACATAAAAATGATACTTAGTATTTTGTTGCTATTATTAAAATTAACAGAGTTAGGGTGGTTAGAAGTTAAAAAATCTGATGTGTCCAACACATGACTTTCCTATCTAGTTATTATAGGCATTTTCCGGTTATTTTGTACAACCTATTGCAGCATCTCTATAAATGTTTAGAGGATAAACTAAATATATACATTGTCCACATACATCTACCGCGAAACATTTTTCTATAGATATTCATTGAAAACGAAAATACAGAAAAATTTAAATTTAGAACTTTTCCATTACGGTCCATTTTAGAAAAATCATATATAAACAAAAATTATAGAAATCGATATCGCAAACAACTTTTAGTTCAACAATTTTCATAAAAATCAGAATTTTGCACATTTTGTCAAATTTCTCGAATACGGACCATTTCAGGAAATTTTGACATAAAACAAAAATTATAGATAATAATATTAGAAGTAACTTTTATTTGAACAATTTTCTTCTCCAAACATAAATAACAGATATATTCCATAAAATATAAAAACGGCCTCCCATAAAGTACCCCCCCAGATGTTCCGACTTTGTCCAAAATCTAATCATTTCACGTCAGGCCGAAATAAACCTTAAGTTTAAAATTTAATGTTTTTTCCTTTATCCGTTTTTGAGTTTTCTTCAAATTTCGAAATTTACACATTTTCTCAAATATCTCGAATACGGTCCATTTTAGAGAAATTATGTATAGGACAAAAATTATAGAAAATTATATTACAAACAACTTTTATTTGAACAATTTTTATAAAAAATTATTTTTTTTACATTTTCTCAAATTTCTCGAATACGGACCATTTTAGGAAAATTTTGCATAAAACAAAAATTATAGATAATTATATTAGAAGTAACTTTTATTTGAAGAATGTTCTTCTCCAAACGTAAATAACAGATATATTCCATAAAATATAAAAATGACCACCTATAAAGTACCCCCCCAGATGTTCCAACTCTGCCCAAAATCTAATCAGCTCATTGGACGCTGAAACAAAGCTTAAGTTTAAAATTTGGTGTTTTTTTGTGTATCGGTTCATGAGTTATGCGTTATACAGACACACACACACAGACACACACACACAGACAGACATCATCGCGAAAATAGTCAAAACGGATTCAGGGGACCTCAAAACGTAAAAATCCGTCGAAAACTCGAGGTCGAAAAAAATCATGATTCCTATACTTTCCTTATATCTGTATACAGATAGGAAAGTAAAAATGATACTTAGTATTTTGTTGCTATTATTAAAATTAACAGAGTTAGGGTGGTTAGAAGTTAAAAAATCATAGCGAACTGAAAATGCAATGATTTTTTAGTTTCTTTTTGTAATTTACTCAAAAAAATATAAACTTTCTTTTTAGAATTTTTTTTTTAATTTTTTTTTTAATTTTTTTTTTTTTATTTTTATTTATAAATTTTCAATATACTATAGTTATGGTAAATTAAATTTTGAAATTACCATATTATGACTTGCCTGACATAAAAAATATGAGGAGTGAACTAATGCAAACGACATTGCTACAGTTTAGTCTCCCACCTGAAGTTCCGTTAAATAAATAAAAATAGTAAAAAAATATATAAAAAAAAAAAATGAAAAATAATTTTAAAAAAATAAATAAAAATAGGTATATTAATAAAAATAAGTAAATAAAAACAAGTAAAAAGAAATATATTAATAAAATTAAATAAAAAAACTAATAAAAATAAAAAAAATAGAAATAAATATTTTTTATTTTTATATATTTACTTATTTTTATTTGTTTCTTTTTTATTTCTTTTATTTTACTTTTATCTTTTTATTTATTTTTGTTTAATTTTATATTTTTAATAATTTTTTTCTTTTTTGTTTTTTATTAATTTTATTTCTTTTTATTCATTTTTATTTACTTTTTATTTATTTATTTATTTTCTTTTACTTTTATCTTTTCATTTTATTTTTTAAATTTATTTATTTTTAGTTAGTTTTTTATTTTTTTCCTTTTATTTATAATTTTTTTCTTTATTTTTTACTTTTATTTATATATTTTCCTTTTTTTAATTATTTTTTCTTCCATGAGAAAATCCTCAAACTCTTCATTTTGTATGTATGTTTAGCGATAATGTTTTACCACCTTGTCCGATTTGTATGATTCTTTTTTTGTTAGAAAGGGAGTACTTTAGGGGGCGTCTGATATAAATTTGGTCAAAATCTAATAATTGGGTCCATAAGAAAATCCTCAAACTCTTCCTTTTTTATGTATGTTTAGCGATAATGCTTTACCACCTTCTCCGATTTAGATGATTCTTTTTTGTTAGAAAGGGGTTACCTCAGGGGCGGTCCCATATAAATTTTGTCAAAATTTAATAATTGAATCCATCAGAAAATCCTCAAATTCTTCATTTTTTATGTATGTTTAGCGATAATGCTTTACCAACTTGTCCGATTTATAGGATTCTTTTTTTGTTAAAAAGGGGGTACTTTAAGGGTGGTCCCATATAAATTTGGTCAAAATCTAATAATTGGGTCCATGAGAAAATCCTCAAACTCTTCATTTTTTATTTGTTTAGTGATAATACTTTACCACGTTGTCCGATTTATGATTCTTTTTTGTTAGAAAGAAGGTACCTCAGGGGCGGTCCCATATAAATTTAGTTAAAATCTAATAATTGAATCCATCAGAAAATCCTCAAACACTTCATTTTTTATGTATGTTTAGCGATAATGCTTTACCAACTTGTCCGATTTATAGGATTCTTTTTTGTTAAAAAGGGGGTACTTTAAGGGTGGTCCCATATAAATTTGGTCAAAATCTAATAATTAGGTCCATGAGAAAATCCTCAAACTCTTCATTTTTTATGTATGTTCCCTTACACTCTAATCACCCTAATTCTTTTAGTATTGATACTAGCACAAAATACTAAATATCATTTTTATATAAAACTTTATGCTTTACCAAAATTTATATTTTTTGACGCACCTCGTATACGCCTCTAAAAATTTAATATCTGGTGGTTGAATCTTAGGTTTTAGACCATGCAGAACGTTTTATAAAGAATACATTTTTTTACAAAACTAATAATAAAAAAGTTTTCCATACGTTTATAATTTTTCTTTTTGTACTAATTTTTATATTGTGATTACTCCCACTCTGTAATTGGTTTCTGTTGAGTGGTGTAGAAATAAATAAAAATAATTAACCCAATAATATCACAAAAAAACAATTTTCTAAAAAAATTGGGATACGTCTTAAATATTCAAAAACTCTAGAATTGTAAAATAGTTACGTGAGAATGTTTTTTTTTATGTTGATATGCACTGTATAAAAGGGTGACTCATCTGACTGGTTTTTATTATATAAAAGATAATAAATTGTCTTAATGATGAATATTTAACGTTTTGACAATTGTAACAGCATTGACAGCATCATGGATATTTCGTTTTTGTAAAAATGAAGTCACATTATTTCGGTCTATTAATTTGCTTGTCAAATATTTAATACCGGACAGTCCTTTTTCAAGTTTTTCTAATTATTAGGAAAAATTTAAATGTTTACACAGAGGCTGTGAGAAAAGAAGAGAGGGAACTCACAACTCATTCTATTTTTCATTTTTATCAGCTCATTTTATTCAACATTGTAAATAATAAATTAAATACACTGTTTGGGCTTTGAAACTTTGAGCTTTCCAGTTGAGCAATGATATTGCGATCAGTTTTGGTCCCTCGCCTCTGACTGTGCATTGCTGATCTTTGAGCCCTCACCCAGTGGGTTATGATGGGCTGATGGCACTAAAAAGATAGTGTGGCAGCAATTTACTGATTTTTAATGGACTTTAAAAAAGGAGGAGGTTCTCAATTCGCCGGATTATGTTATTTAGCAATAATTCTTTACTACTTTGTCTGATTTCTATGATTCTTTTTTTGTTATAAAGGGAATACCTCGGGGATAGTTCCGTATACAATATAATAGGTCATAAATTACATTTATGACTTATTTAATTTTTTTATAGACGTTACTGCGACGCCATAGCTCTAACCTACCAAGCCGAGCGCATGCCGGAACAAATACGACTCAAAGTCGGCGGCATATCCACCAGCCAAATGGCCGTGTACGAAGAATTCGCTCGCAACATCCCCGGCTTTTTACCGAACGAAAGAGACACGACTATGCTGATTCAAAAACAAACACCGATCGAAGTTCAATCTCACTCTACGACGCCTTTTCCGATACCACAAACGGCGTTGGCTACCGACGACATCACTTTGTTGTACGAGAAGTTGGCTGTAGAAGTTGAACAGTTCGTGCAGCTAACTGGAGGACAGGCGCAGTACACGATGATGAATAACAGTATGTTGGTTGTGAGGGATTGCTTGATGCATATGCTGAGAAACAGGGATATGACTCAAGCTATTGTCCAGAAGGTAATATAATTTTTTTTACAGGGCACTATTTACATTTTTTCATAATTATTATTAAGTCTGTTCCAATACGCGCGAAAACCGTAATATTATCGTACAAATCATGCGCTGTATACAATTTTTGGGTAGAGCGCACAATTTGTACGGTAATATTACGGTTTTCGCGCGTGTTGCAACAAACCTATTATAAATACTATAAAGTACATACTTAACCGTTAAAAAATGAAAAATTTCTTTAAAACACCCACACATCTTTTACGGAAAAATGGCGATCTATGAAATTGATATGTTTTAGTTTTTAATAACTTGAGCATTCAAATTTTATGATATAGGGTGTTAATCTTAACAAATACCACTAACTGAATATAAAAATGGGTCAAAACATTTTTCTTTTTAGGGTTAATCGCAAATAAGTAAGGGCATCACTTTTATTGATGTAGGGGGTGAAAATATTAATAAATTATTGCTGTATTTTTCGTAATGTGATTTCAATATCTTACTTTTAAATTTCACCCTGTAGGATATTATTTTTGACTTTGTGGACTAATCAAAAAACGGTTGTCAGTAATAAAGATTAATGTATAAATTGTATGATTACTACAATTGAATAATATCCTACAGGGTGAAATTACAATCACCACATTAATATATAAACAGGGTGATTAGTATAAATCGAAGTAGGCCAATAGTGTCTTGTATATTTAAGTGATATATATTATATTACCATAACATATGTTCATTTCATTTCCTACAGGGTGATTTTCTAAAAATTAGTGGAAAAATTCACAGACAAGTCTACCAGACTAGTTTGAAAACGCACTTTTCAAAAGTGGAAAAGTGTGTGGATCATAAATATTGCTTAAAAAAGAAGAAACGACAAATGACTACTGACTTTTTTGTGTTTCAACAATGTTTTTTCGAATTTTCCAAGTAAAAATGTATAACTTATTCTACCATTGTTTAAAAGTTAAGTCAATTTAACTTATTTCGATTCCAGTGTGTCGAAGGTCTACAGGACTGCCTTGTACCGACGCTTAACGAAACCGATCCAGTCGTTTTACGCTTTAAAGACCTCATAATTCGAATTCTGAAAACGATGCAAGATCACAGAGTGTACGGCCAGCAATGGACCAATAAACTCGTGACGAGATACTTAACGGATTGCCGCGACGAACAACAACGCTATAATATCGACGCCATTGATACTCTAATTAAAAGCGGATTAGTAAACGTACCTCAGTACGATCTCGCGTTGGCCCAATGCATGGAGAATGGTCCTAATTATATGGGTGTTAATTTCGCCATGCAGTTGGTGCAATTGTATCTAATAGATGACAGGTAAGCATTTAGTTTATTTGGTAAAGTAGATAAGCAATAAAATTGTGTGTCCCTTAAAGTATTCCCAGGTCCGGATTGAAATAACCTCTTATAAAATATAAAGTATTATTTTTTTAAAAATTTCATAAAAAGCTTGAGGAAAGAGCCAATATATCACATCAGAATTTAATTCAATACAAAATAGAAATATTATTTAATTTCTGTATTAACTTGAAATATAGAAGACATTCAGAGGTGGAGAAGGAATGAAACAAGTATTAAAGTGTGCAAGTTTTAAGAATATCTTAAGATTTTCCTTGTCTTATATAGCTTTTGAAAAGATCCTTGGTGATAATCTATAATTTATTTAAAAAAGTTTTTAGTAGTTATGTCACTAATAGTATAAAGCTCTGCAGATATAAGGCACTTTTTTTATCATTCTTTTAAATAGGGTATGAAGTAATTTTTCTAATTTCTATAGGAATAATAAGCATTTGTATAAGCAACCTTTTTCTATTAAACTAGTTACTATGAAGCGGATATCTAAAAACCTTCTTTTTTCTGGTTTTATAGCCAGGTTCAATAATGTAGGAGGAAGAATATTGTTGACTACAGAATATTTAGCAAATACATTGCTAGACATACAATGCAGAAACAGTTAATTAAATTCAAAGATTTAAAAAACCTCTACAACTATCTTTAAGATTAAGACCAGCCAGAATCCAGATGACTCTTTTTTGTAAAAGGAAAACAGTCTGTGTACTGTGTACCACCCCAAAAAAACAATTCTATAACTCAGCAATGAATAAAATTACAATAATTGCAATAATTTCAATTCTTTTAAGGAATAACAATTTCTACTGAGTTTTCCACAAAGCTGCTGTACATGGACCATCCAATTCATCTATACTGAACTCCTAAAAATGTTGTGCTTGAGGAAAATTCAATTAAGTCATCATCTAGGTCAATATCTTTAGGATAAACAGTTTCATTACAGCTGTTCTACCCTAGCTTTATTGGGCTTGACATATATTGCCTTCGATCATGGTGGACTGTATTCGAAATAGATTACCTGGGGTGAAGGCCTTATGCTCCACCCTGTAGTCTCTGGAAGATATTCTTGAAGTTCTAGTTGAAGCACGTTTTATTTTGATTTATTCACTGCTTGATACTTTCACATTTAACACATTTACAACTTTGTTACATAAAATTATTGATATTAGCTTTTATAAATCAAATCGCACCATGCTTGGAATTGATTACCGCGAATGCCGGCTTTTTAAGTTAAAGTTTCTGCGACTTGTTGCTTGTTCGACTGACAAAGCGAAAGTGATTTTTAATTTTTTTGCTGCCGTTGTTTGTCAGCTCGCACCGGCTTACCGGCTTTCTTCTAATTGGTTCTCTAGTATCGTATGATTGCACGCGCGACTATTGTTTTTAAGATCTGTCTTATGATTGGGTGAAAAATCTCGCTTGACTAACTGTAACTGTTCGCGAAGTAGCAGGTGTCTTTGAAGGTTACTTGAAAGTTAAAAAGGGTGGTTATTCTTATAATTCACCAGGTATCCAAAAGAAATATCTATTTCATTGAAAAACACTTTATTCAGAGCTTACAAAAATTGCCTTGCTTTAACAACGGCCATTAAAACAGAACGACGGTTGACAGTTATACCAACCTAAGAACAATTAAATAAACTAAAGGTAGGTATTAAGGTAAGTTCACATTGTCGTAAAATTGTAACTTATAACAGTTATTACACAACTTTGGATAATTGGTTTATACAGGGAGTGTCTATTTAGTATTTTATTCTTTTTTGTTTGTTAAATGCTGATTTAGATTAATCTGCCCTGCAGATAGAACGTGTTGAATGTAATTTCAACAACGGCTATGTCTAAACAACACACATTTAGTTTTATTTCCATTCATTAATAATAAGTTTTCATTATGCTATTTAGAGACCATTGAAATAGTTGACACTGTTTTATTTTCAATCTCATTGTAGTTTTTTTCGACAACTAGTATGTTTGTATCATCGGCATAATTTATTTAAATGATAACTCTGTATTTTTAATAATACACCAAAAATAAAATTGGACCAAGTACACTACCCTGTGGAACTCCTTAAAACTAAAAGTATATTGGGTTGAATTGGATATTAAGCAAACTTTTTGATAGGTAAGCCTTGAACCAATTGTAGGCAACACCTTGGATACTTTTTTTTTTTTAATTTCCTTTATAGCTAGATTACTGTAATCAAGTGTATCAAGAATTTTCCTCACAGAAGTGAAGACAGCAGTTGTCAACTTTGCTTTTTGAAAGCCATGTTGGTTTTGGCTTATTATATTTTTAGAATTTAGACATTGCTATTTCAAAAACTTTTGAAAATGTTTGAAAGCAGACTAATTGGTCTATAATTCTCGGTTAATAAAGGATGAACCTTTTTGAACAAAGGTTTGACAACTGCTACCTTCAAACCTGACAGAAACATTCCATTTAATAAATATTCATAGGTGTTAAAATATGAACATTATGTTGCTTATTCAATCATCTCTACTAAAATATTTGTTTTTCAGTCCTAAAATTATTTCTAAAATTTCATTTTGTTGTTTCATTTAAATATATAGATTGAATTAGCTATATAATGAATATGATTTATATGTGTATTTTTTGGACCTGTCCCAGCAAGATTACTAGCAGCTGATAACAAAGAAATTATTGAAAAAGTCAGAAGCTTCAGAAGGTGACAATTAAATCATTATTGTCTTTAATTAACCGACTTCAAAAAAGAAGGAGGTTCTCAATTCGTCGCAATATTTTTTTTATGTATATTCAGCGATAATTCTTTAACAGGGTGTTTGATTTCAATGATTCTTTTTTTGTTAGAAAGGGGGTACTTCAAGGGTGGCCCCATATAAATTTGGTCAAAATCTAATAATTAGGTCTATGAGAAAATTCTCAAACATTTCATTTTTTTATGTATGTTTAGCGATAATGCTTTACCACCTTGTCCGATTTATATGATTCTTTTTTTTTTTTGTTAGTAAGGGGGTACCTCAATGGTGGTCCCATATAAATTTGGTCAAAATCTAATAATTGGGTCCATGAGAAAATCCTCAAACTCTTCATATTTTTTTATGTATGTTTAGCAATAATGCTTTACCACCTTGTCCGATTTATATGATTCCTTTTTGTTAGTAAGGGGGTACCTCAGTTAGTAAGGGGGTACCTCAGGGGTGGTCCCATATAAATTTGGTCAAAATCAAATTATTGGGACCATGAGAAAATCCTCACTTTTCATTTTTTTATGTATGTTTAGCGATAATGCTTTACCACCTTGTCCGATTTATTTTTTTTTTTTTGTTAGTAAGGGGGTACCTCAAGGGTGGTCCCATATAAATTTGATCAAAATCTAATAATTGGGTCCATGAGAAAATCCTCAAACTCTTCATATTTTTTTATGTATGTTTAGCAATAATGCTTTACCACCTTGTCCGATTTATATGATTCCTTTTTGTTAGTAAGGGGGGTACCTCAGTTAGTAAGGGGGGTACCTCAGTTAGTAAGGGGGTACTTCAGGGGTGGTCCCATATAAATTTGGTCAAAATCTAATAATTAGGTCCATGAGAAAATCCTTAAACTCTTTAATTTTTATGTATGTTTAGCGATAATGCTTTACCACCTTGTCCGATTTATATGATTCTTTTTTGTTAGTAAGGGGGTACCTCAAGGGTGGTCCCATATAAATTTGGTCAAAATCTAATAATTGGGTCCATGAGAAAATCCTCAAACTCTTCATATTTTTTTATGTATGTTTAGCAATAATGCTTTACCACCTTGTCCGATTTATATGATTCCTTTTTGTTAGTAAGGGGGTACCTCAGTTATTAAGGGGGTACCTCAGGGGTGGTCCCATATAAATTTGGTCAAAATCTAATAATTAGGTCCATGAGAAAATCCTTAAACTCTTTAATTTTTATGTATGTTTAGCGATAATGCTTTACCACCTTGTCCGATTTATATGATTCTTTTTGTTAGTAAGGGGGTACCTCAGGGGTGATCCCATATAAATTTGATCAAGATGTGGTGATTGGATCTGCAGGTTTTTGAAGTCGTTTTTTTTTATTTTTAATTTGTGATACTTGTACTATTAAATATTTATTTGTTTTTGTTTTATTTACTCCTTTTTCATTATTTATTGTCTTCCAAATAGTCTTTGTTTTATTACTAGAAAGAGCACTCTGATTTGTTGGCAAAAGAAGTTTGCAATAAAAAGATTTATATTCTTTATATAGACCAGGACTGAAATTGAAGCCTTTGGTAAAAAGAAAAAAATATAATAGGTTGAAACCCATTGGAAAATGAAGAGAATATAACAAAAATAAAAAAATAATAATAATTTGCGGGAGATCTGAGGTCGAAAAGTGGAAGGGGGTAAGTTTTTAAAGGTAAAAAACGGTTTATTTCGATTTCTGCAACTTTGTGATCCCATATAAATTTGGTCAAGATTTGATAATGAGACCCTTGAGAAGATAATTCTTTATCATATTGTCCGATTTATGTGATTCTTTTTTTATTAGAAAGAAGGTAATCTCAGGGGGGTCAAGTTGTCATGTTGAAAAACCAGCAAACTTAATTTATGACGGCATCTGCACGATTCTGGAGTTGGTTTTTTAAAATGAGTTTTATAACTTGTTATACTTAATTATTTCGACTAAAGTGTGCGATTTTACTTTTTTTTTCTATTGTTAGAAGTTAAACGAATTAACTTCGAAAGTTTTTAAATTATTTATCCACAAAACAGGTGTTAACATGCTTTTATGTTTTATTAAATATCTCGAAAAACTAAAGCAATGTTTAAAATCTAATTAATTAAGGAATAAAATAAAGAATGTGTTTAACGGGCATAAAATGCCTACTTGCTTGTGTTCGCCTGATCAAAATTAAAGTTGCCCCTTTCCGATACCGTCAACCTCAGTGGCGCTAGTCTCTCTAATTTTCTGAATCTAACACTATATAATATTTTTTTGATGGCATTTGTGTTGAAATATAAATATTCTTAAAACTTGCACTCTTTAAATACTTAATTCATTCCTCCTCAATCTCTGATCATCCAGTGTGTACTTGCTTGAGAGATATAAGGAATTGTTTAAATTTCTTTTCAGAGTAAGCCGTTTGATATTTTCGGAAACTTTTACGATGATTCAATATATATTTTTACGGAAAAAACATAATTATTTAAAATATATTTCATAAAATTTAGATCCGGCCAATTTGTCACAGAAAGTGATTTGTGCAATACCATCGAAATGCTAGCCAAAATCCAAACTCACACGCGACAACCGCCAGAAGGTTTAGGAAACATTATGGACATCCTAAGACAAAACGAACCGAGCTCGTATTTCGGAGACAGAGCCTCGATGGGGCCCACCGTTCACATTCACAACGGAATTTTGCAGGTGAGAAGTTGAGATTTTTGTTTTGTTTTTTCAGTTTCACCACAAAATGATTTGTAACTATAATTTGATAATCATTAAATATCTGCATGTTTTGAATAGTTTTTTTTTTATTAGTGTTGATGTGAAAATAAATAAGGTGATTTGAATACACCTGTGTATATTTCTAATTGGATAAAAATTAAGTAGTTTTCAATAAGCCTGTCTAAACTGCAAATCGTATTAAAAATAATGTATACATAACAAAAATGTTTGATAAAATTTTAGGTATGGTTTTGTGAATGCATTCACCTTATAAAAAATATTAACATTAAAAATATTATATACAGTATGACCGTAAATATACAGTACCCGAAATTGTAACTAGTCAGAGTTGCTAGGGCAGTAACACTGCTGTCAAACTTGTTTTAAACAAACATTAACTTGTTATCTGTTATGATATACAACACTATCTGTAAACAAGATGTTTACAACCGAAGAAAACCTTTTTATAACGCTCAGACGAGTTTTGCAGTAATAGTAGATTCAATAATAAATGGATTGGATCTCAATTTGAGCTATGCGTCCAAAAGAATGATGGTCCTATAGAGCTTATCATTGGCTATTATAATAGACACTAACTTTGTCATTTTTGTTATACCTGTTAACATTATTTTATTAATTTCGCTTCAGTACTGTATATTTCTGATCATATTTTGTAATCACTTTTTTATTTTATAAGAAATTTAGATTGTTAATAAAAAAAAATGTGTAGTGAACAAATACACTATAATACTAGTAAATATTTAAAAATATACGGTATGTGTAAAACATATTTGTATAGTTTTTTGTGTATTTGTTTTGAAGCCTTGCATTTTGTTTTCGCTCGTCGCTGATATCAATTTATTTTAAATATTCTTATAATTATTTTGTTATAGGTTCGAGCTCCGAACTACGAGGATCCACCTGGTTTAGTAGAGAAAACCGATCAACTACTTCGCGATTGGATAACTATTTACCACACCCAGAACCAAGGACGCGATTCCACCAAAGCCTTCAGCATGTTCGTGCATCAGATGAACGTGTATGGTATACTTAAAACTGACGACTTGATTACGCGATTCTTCCGTCTATCCACTCAACTTTGCGTCGAAACCGTCTACAGGATCCTCGCGGAAAAGACCACTACGAACGTGTCGTTGCTGAGACCGAAATGTTATCATACTTTGGATGCTTTTGTTAGGTTGGTGGCGCTTCTAGTCAAGCATTCCGGTGATGCGAATAATACCACCACCAAAATTCATTTACTGAATAAGGTAAGGAAAAATATAATTTTTCGGTATGCCTGATTTGAATAAAACAAATAATATCTAAACTCTTGCATGCACATCTCTGAAGCAACTAAAAGTATAACTCAAATCGAAAGGCGGTATACAAAAATAGAATAAAAGAAACAAAGTTGTATACAAATAGGAAAGTAAAAATGAAAATTTCCGTTCTCACCAATTTTCTATAAAAAATTCTTTTGAACACATTTGCAACCAGAACGATACAAAAATTTACAAGACAGATAAACTTTGACAAATGTTTAGATTGGAGTTCATGTCATTCATAAGTTCTTCAAAGTTTGTCAAACTTTATTTGAAAGGCTAAAAATGTTATAAAATAGTGATGGGTTACTTGGAAAAGTCCACAAACTAGTTGACTGAATTTCTTACAAAGAAAGGCAAAATATAGTTTGAAAAAGAAGAAATTTTTACTGAATTTGATAATGTTTTAAGGTTGCTTTCCAATTTTCGTTTCATATCTTATTAAAAAAAACTCCATGAAGAAATTACCAAATATTTTACAAATGATTTGCCTTAAAAACAAAATAAAAATGCAAATATTGTTCCAAAAATGTTTTTGAAAAAACATCCAGGATGGAGATTTAACTGTGTGTCTTCTATGCTTTTCATTACTTTTCTAAACATATTCTTCAGGCTAATCCAAAAAGTCCCATCTCTATTATAAAATAATGTAATTATGTAGAGAATTTATTTTTTTTTTGCAGGTTCTGGGAATAGTAGCTGGCTGTTTACTTCAAGACCACGATACTCGCACAACAGAATTTCAACAACTGCCTTATCAGAGGATATTTACCATGCTGTTTCTGGAATTAAACGCTCCTGAACCGGTATTGGAAGCCCTCAATTACCACATTTTGAACGCATATTGCCACACTTTGCACATACTACGGCCATCCAAGGCAGCCGGATTTTGTTATGCCTGGCTGGAACTGGTTTCGCATCGGGCGTTCATGGGTAGAATGCTTGCCAGCAGTCCACAACAAAAGTAATAAAAGACTTAAATATATTAATAAATAATAAATACTTATGACTCTTTTATATTTCTTACAGATGTTGGCCTATGTATGCACAACTACTGATCGACCTGTTCAAATATTTAGCGCCATTCCTGAGAAACGCGGAATTAGCAAAGCCGGTAACGATGCTCTACAAAGGCACGCTTAGAGTCCTTCTCGTCCTCTTACACGATTTCCCCGAGTTCCTATGCGATTACCACTACGGTTTCTGCGACGTCATTCCGCCCAATTGCATTCAAATGAGGAATCTGATCCTTTCGGCGTTTCCGAGAAACATGAGACTGCCCGATCCCTTCACGCCGAACCTCAAGGTCGACATGCTGCAAGAAATTTCGTATGCGCCGAGAATACTTACGAACCTTTCGCTTATGATAACGCCCGCTCAATTTAAGAAGGATCTGGATTCGTATTTGAAGGCCCGAGCACCCGTTACGTTTTTATCTGAACTGAGGAGTAATTTACAGGTAAGAATATAGATAGATAGATAGATTAGATAGATAGATAGATAGATAGATAGATAGATAGATAGATAGATAGATAGATAAGATAGATAGATAAGAAAGATAGATAAGATAGATAAGATAGATTAGATAGATAGATAGATAGATAGATAGATAAGATAGATAGATAGATAGATAGATAGATAGATAGATAGATAGATAGATAGATAGATAGATAGATAAGATAGATAGATAAGATAGATAGATAAGATAGATAGATAAGATAGATAAGATAGATAAGATAGATAAGATAGATAAGATAGATAGATAAGATAGATAGATAAGATAGATAGATAAGATAGATAGATAAGATAGATAGATAGATAAAATAGATAGATAAGATAGATAGATAAGATAGATAGATAAGATAGATAGATAAGATAGATAGATAAGATAGATAGATAAGATAGATAGATAGATAGATAGATAGATAAGATAGATAGATAAGATAGATAGATAAGATAGATAGATAAGATAGATAGATAAGATAGATAGATAAGATAGATAGATAAGATAGATAGATAAGATAGATAGATAAGATAGATAAGATAGATAGATAGATAGATAGATGGATAGATTAGATAGATAGATTAGATAGATAGATTAGATAGATAGATAGATAGATAGATAGATAGATAGATAGATAGATAGATAGATAGACAGACACAGACAGATAGATAGACATATATAGATAGATTTATTGATATAAATTACAAATATTTTACATACGTCAATGATAAAAGTATAAAAAAGATATCAAGAAAATACTGATAAAGATTTCAAAAAATATAGACAAACAAAAAAATATATAGGAATTCAAACAGGTAACACATTAAAAAAGGCGATAAGAATTCGTGAGTTGAATAAAATTAGTGACTCAACAAAATAATATAAGTAGTTATAATAGTTATTTATGCAACCAGTTACAAATTGTCTTATTTTTTTGTAATGAGTAATTCTTTACGGGATGAAGAGATCAAGATCCCACAAAATAACATATGACAATATGCATATATTTGTGTTAAATTCAGTTTTTAGATTCGTTTAAAAAAAAAACAGTTTTGCACATTGTCAAACCTGCATTATACAGTGTGTGCTATAAAGTTGAAACCATATGGATTTTTTTTGTTTACTATTACGATTGGAAAAAAAAAACTTCTGATAATTTTAAAACTTAAAATAGCCCATATCGAATTTGACTACTGGCATTGCTTATCTGTCACTCTCATTAAAAAAAGGGATTTTTAAGCGTTTTTTCAAAAATATTGCCAAGTAAGTAGCCAATTTTGATATGGGTTAGTTTAAATTTTTAAATAAGCAGGAGTGAATGCCCTATGATGCTTTTTTTTTCAGTCATAATATTAAAACAATTTCCCATATATGGATTCAACTTTATGACACTGTATGTCATAGACGTGCCATGAATACTAATTTTTATCACTGATGCCAATAAAATGGCGTGCAAATGGATATTTTCTGTAAAATTAATTTTGAGTTTGTGTTTGATTTTTAACTGACTTCAAAAAATGAGGAGGTTCTCAATTCATCGGTATATGTATGTTCAGCGATAATTCTTTAACACTGTGTCCGATTTCAATGATTATTTTTTGGTTAGAAAGGGGATACTTTAGGGGTGGTCTCATATAACTTAGGTCAAAATTTAATAATTGGGTCCATGTGAAAATCCTCAAACTCTTCATTTTTTATATATATTCAACTATAATTATTTACCACATTGTCCTATTTATATGATTCTTTTTTGTTAGTAAAGGGGATGCCTCAGGGGTGGTCCCATATAAATTTGGTCAAAATCTAATAATTGGATCCATGAGAAAATCCTTAAACTCTTCATTTTTTATATATGTTTAGTGATAATTCTTTACCACCTTATCCGATTTCTATGATTCTTTTTTTGATAGTAAGGGGGTGCCTCAGGGGTGGTCCCATATAAATTTGGTCAAAATCTAATAATTGGGTCCATGAGAAAATCCTCAAACTTTTCATTTTTTATATATATTCAACTATAATTCTTTACCACATTGTCCTATTTCTATGATTTTTTTTTTGTTGGTAAAGGGGATGCCTCGGGGGTGGTCCCATATAAATTTGGTCAAAATCTAATAATTGGGTCCATGAGAAAATCCACAAACTCTTCATTTTTTATGTATGTTTAGTGATAATTCTTTACCACCTTGTCCGATTTGTATGATTTGTTTTTGATAGTAAGGGGGTGCCTCAGGGGTAGTCACATATAAATTTGGTCAAAATCTAATAATTGGGTCCATGAGAAAATCATCAAACTCTTAATTTTTTTTTAAATATATTCAACTATAATTCTTTACCACATTGTCCTATTTCTATAATTCTTTTTTTGTTGGAAAAGGGGATGCCTCGGGGGTGGTCCCATATAAATTTGGTCAAAATCTAATAATTGGGTCCATGAGAAAATCCACAAACTCTTCATTTTTTATGTATGTTTAGTGATAATTCTTTACCACATTGTCCTATTTCTATGATTCTTTTTTTGTTAGTAAGGGGATACCTCAGGGGTGGTCGCATATAAATTTGGTTAAGATGTGGTGGTGGCATCTTCACGATTTTAAAATAGTTTTTTTTAAAATTACTTTTAATACTTATAATTGTTATTAAATAATATATGTATATATTGAAAAGTAGTTATTATAATCAGTTTCATTAATGTTAAATGTTTTTATTTATTATTAATTTTAATAAAAACAAATGTAAAATATGCAAAAATACCTAACTAATTTTGTTTATTACAGTAAAATAATATATATTAGGACATATATATTATGGAAAAGAAATATAAAAAATAATTAGATATAATGCAATTAAAAATAGTTTATTAAAAAAAAGATGATGTATTGGTACTAATATAATATTGTTACATTAAAAACAACCTAAAATATAATATAGATTTTTCAAAAATATTGAAAATTAATCCTTTATGTACCTTTATCATTTGTCACATTTTTAATCATTCAGGAACTTTTTTGTTTCTTTTGTTAGAAAATAATATTGGAGACGTCATTAATAATACATCCTTTGCAATTACAATTTTGAAAATATATTCCTAAGAATTGAGAACCTCTTCATTTTTTGATGTCAGTTAAAAATTTTGTTTAAATCCTTTTTTACTCAGGACATTTGTATGATGCCCTAATAAGGCTAACTACTAAAATGTACTTGCTTTGTTACAATATAGCTGGCGCAAGTGTCGCAGCTTTAACTGTATGAAAAGGTGGTTTTATTTGATTTTTTCTTTTTATCATAATCATGATTTCTGAATAATAATACTCTTTTTTTTTTTACAAGAAGTACCATATTCAAGTTCAAGCATTTTTATAAAATTAATATTTTATTTCCTTTAGTACAAAATCTTTCAAAAATGTAATTTCATAACCAAAACTTGTTTTAACATTAGTGCAATTCAGTTAATTTGTTTTTGCAGGTTTCAAATGAACCAGGAGTTCGTTACAACATCCCGCTAATGAACGCATTGGTACTTTACGTCGGTACCCAAGCGATCGCTTACATAAGAAACAAGAGCCACACGCCCAATATGTCGACGATAGCGCACAGCGCTCACATGGACATTTTCCAAAACTTAGCCGTCGATCTCGATACGGAAGGCAGATATCTTTTCCTAAATGCCATCGCGAATCAGCTGCGTTATCCGAACAGCCACACTCACTATTTTTCGTGCACGCTGCTGTACTTATTCGCCGAGGCCAATACGGAATCCATCCAAGAGCAGATCACGAGAGTGTTGCTGGAGAGGTTGATTGTGAACAGGCCGCATCCTTGGGGACTGCTCATAACTTTTATAGAACTAATCAAAAATCCCACGTACAGGTTTTGGCAGCATGAGTTTGTTCATTGTGCACCAGAAATTGAAAAGTAAGTAACTTTAACTAGCAGATTTGTTAGGAAAAATAAACAAAAAATATCATAATTTAATAATTTTTTTCTTTCGAAATTTTACTTTATAAATATTTTGGATCTCAAATTCATATTCCCAAAAGTTGTATATGTATTTTTAATGCAAATCCCGATGCACGTCACGGTCTTACATTGTTGTCTAATCGCTAGAATAGTCGAGGAATTTAGAAAATTTTGAAATTGTAAGGTTATGTTAATAATCTAAAACTGCTACTAAACAAACAATTTTTATATTTCAGGTTATTTGAGTCGGTTGCAAGATCTTGTATGGTGAAGTCGACTGTGCAAACGCAAGAAGGGGACATACAAGAGTGATAAGCATTTTTGTGATTTGTACATAATTCTATAAAAAATGAAAATGTGACATTTTTTAAATTAATTTTTTGTTTGTTTATAATTTAAAGCTTAATTTTGGGAGCAATGCATTTTATTTTTAGGAGATAAGGTGATCATAGTGTATAGAGATTAATTAGTGTAATATATTAGGTATTTTTAAGAAATTTTCAAGTATTTGTAACTAGTATACATATATATGGATGTAATAAATGGTTTTCAATGTTTTCAGCATTAAATCTTTCGTTTTATTTAAAATAAATAAACCCAAGTTGTTGTAATTTAATTTTTATTTGATGTCTTATGAGTTATTCTTAATATTTATTTAAATACATTTAAATTGCTGCCCTATGTCTTCGTTTCATAGGATGGGTAAATAAAAATAATCGATCTGAAATTAGTGAAATTACATGTCCCAAATGCTCCGGTCCTCACGAAAAAAATGCTTGTACATCTGAATCGTTGTGTTGTAACAATTGTAAATTATTTAATTCTAGGTTTAAGTTAAACGTTAGCACTGAACATTCCACAAACAGCCCTAACTGTAGTTACTTATTAAACAGAATAGATAATCTTAAATCTAGGACTGATTATGGCTAGTTTTGTAAATAAAAAGTTAAAGTTAGTACATTTTAATACGCGTTCTTTATTCCCTAAGTTTGATATGTTTGTTGATATAGTTACATTAAATAAAATTGACATAGTGTGCATGACAGAAACGTGGTTAGTTTATGATATTCCAGATCATGCTATTTATATACCTGGGTACAAGATATTTCGAAATGATCGTGGCTCGCGAGGAGGGGGTTTAGGATTTTTTGTCCGTGATACATTAAAAACTTCAGTAACCATCGGTGATTTCAATCCAGTACAGGGCATTGAGCATCTTTGGATAACCGTAGAAATTGGAAGGTCATCGGTTTTGATTGGAGTTATTTACCGAACGGAAACTTGCAATATTACAAACTTTATTGGATATTTTGATAATATTTTATCATATATATTACCTCAGTCTGATCATATTATTATTACGGGCGACATAAACATAAACCAGTTGGTTGATAACCAAATAAATCATTGCATGGAATCTTATAATTTTTCACAGTTAATATCAGAGCCCACTCGTATAACTACGACTTCTCAGACACTATTAGATGTAATTTTCACAAATAGGACAGATTTAGTTTTAAATTCAGGAGTCATTGATCATCAATTATCAGATCATCGTGCTGTTTACTGCGACATTGACTTAAACGTTAGTTATAAGATTCCCATATTAAAAACGTATAGATGTTATAAATATTTCTCAATCAACGCTTTCAACGCAGACCTAGTGAGTGCGCCGTGGCTAAATATTATTTATGAAAATAATATTGAAAAGAAAATACAGATTTTTAACAACCTAATCACAATATTATTTGACAACCATGCTCCTTATGTAGAAGCCAAAATTACTAAACCGTATGCTCATTGGTTGACACCTACAATCCGGGACATGATGAAAACACGAGATAAAGCACTTTCTAAATATAAAAGATCCCAAAATATATTAGACTTCATTCATTACAAAGAAATGCGGAATATCGTTACTAGTGCAATTAGGAAAGAAAAATCAGCTTATTTAAATTATCGTGCAAGCATGCAAAACAAAAAAGACCTTTGGAAAGCAATGAAATCCTTGAATATTTCAAATAAAACTACATTCCATATTCCTGATGGCTTAAGTGACCCTATACTGATATAAACAAGTATTTTACGTCGGTATTCAGTCAGAGAAATTGTTGTCCTTACACTACATCTTATTATAACTCAAATCTATTTAATCCTGCTATTAATTTCTCTTTTAAACTTGCAACAGTAAATGAAATTAGGTCAATAGTTTTGGAATTAAAATCAAACGCATTAGGAATTGATAACATCTCAGCAAAAATGTTACAACTTTCTATTTCAGTCTGTGCTCCTTACATAACGCACATTGTAAATTGCTGTTTAGAAGTTGGTTACTTTCCTGATAGCTGGAAGAATTCCTTAATCAAGCCTTTGCCAAAATCAAATAAGCCTGAAACATTTAGCGACCTTCGGCCCATAAGTATTTTACCGACGTTGTCCAAAATTATAGAAAAAGTAATTAGTAAACAAATATATACATACGTATTTTCTCATAATATTGTAACCACTAAACAATCAGGTTTTCGACATTACTCTTAGATTTAACAGATAACATTATAAGATCAATGGATGAAGGAAAAGCTACAATAGTTACTCTGCTTGACTTTTCTAAAGCGTTTGACACTATAGATCATCAGCTTCTTTGTGCCAAACTTAAATATTTTGGTTTCGATGAAACCTCACTAAGATTTTTCAAATTTTATTTAAGTAACCGCTACCAAAAAGTAACGTTAGAGAAATCATCTAACTTTATGTGTGTAACATCAGGAGTACCCCAAGGCTCGGTTCTTGGTCCCCTTTTGTTTTCCATATATATTTCAGACCTTTATAAATTATTGGAGCATGTAAATATACACTCTTTTGCTGACGACACGCAACTATATTATTCCTTTGACCCATGTGAAGTAGATATAGCCTCGCAAAGCATGAATTCAGATTTAAATGCAGTATATACATTTTCTATGAATCATAACCTTAAACTAAATGCCAGTAAATGTCATACAATATTATTTTGTCCTAAAAATATAGAACATAATGTACAACAGAACCTTAAGCTATTCATTCAAAATGAACCTCTAAAATCTTGTAGAAGTGCCAAAAACTTAGGCATTATTTATGACTGCAAATTAAGGTTTCAGGACTATGTTTCGCTCCTAGTCAAAAAATCGTATCTGGTTATTCGTCAATTATACAGGAATCGAGGTATTTTGAGTTTCAAATTACGTAAGTTGCTTTGTGAAAGTCTTGTATTGTCCATCCTAAATTATGGACTTTTAATTTACTATCCTTGTTTGGATCAAATAACCAAATACAGACTTCAAAAGATTCAAAATTGTTGTTGTCGTTTTGTATTTGGTATCAGAAAGTATGATAGAATATCAAATAAAATTAAAGAACTTAGCTGGCTCAATATAGGAAATTTATTTAAATATCAGATGGCGGCCACGGTATTTCAAATTCTTTTAACCTCAACTTTCATATACTTAAAAAATAAATTGATATATCGGAAAGATCTGCACAGTTTACATTTAAGATATCCACACAACGATTCCGAATTACCGATTATCATTTTTCAAAAGATCTTTCACATATAACGCCATTTCAATATATAACAGTCTACCTAGGGAAATTAGGACATGTTCTTTGACATTTTTGAAACAAAATTATAAAACGTTGCTATTAGTTGAGCAATGAATACAGTGCTAACGTTAATATATTATTAATTTCAAACATTTTTCCTTATTTAATTGTATTTTAAGTTCCATTGATTTCAGTTTAGATTAAATACAGGGTTAACATTTTTAATCATAAATTAATTGTATATTAAATTTCTTATTTTTTTATATTGTAAATGATGGATACCTTTTGATTATTTTAAATTTATATTTATGTTGAGGTTAAGTTGAGTAGCGCAAGCTAGACTTCGCCTCATGATGTTTATGTGCATTGTATATTACAAGCAAATAAAGGCAATTTATTATTATTATATTATTATTATTTCCACAAAATCGAAACGTCTTGCCAATTTAAATAGTTTTTAAGCACAAACTATAACAAAAAAAAACAATATTTCGCTTTTCGGTGTCAATAAATCCACGATTTTAGTTTTTTCTTAAATTACTCAAAAATTATCCTGGATATGTAGGATCTTTTCACGCCTAAAGATTATCCTACTCGATAGGTAACTTTATTCCGTTTAATAAACTTTATATTAGCCTTAAAATATTTCACTGAAGAATTATAACGGTGTTTTCGTTTTCATATCATTTGTCGCCAGCCAACGTGTGGCAAGAATTTTTAAAGGAGATCGGAGTTCTGCGATTTGGAAGGAAAACTGGTAAGATTGTTTATAGTTTCTTTCGTTTGAATTGTTGCTTTTGGCATAGAAAGATGTTTGTAGAGTTTAGGAAAAAAGAGAATACTTGAGTTAGAATAGAATGTAGATAGAACGTTTAGGTAGGATTTGTGTTGTGAAATATAGAAGAACATGTGATTTGAAGAATTTAATGAATAGAGTTAGGACATAGCTTGTAAAAATAAGATTAACATAAAACTGCATATAATTAATTTGTGGGTTTTTATTTTAAGAAAAAAGTAATAATTGTTTTTATAAACATTTCTCTTAACGAGACTTATAAGTGGCGCAGTCAATAGGATTTTCGTCGGGAAAATCCGTGAGTTTTAGCTCTTTAATGAAAAACCGAATAAAATCAAGAAAATCCAGTTTCTTTGGGCTCCATCGAGGAAACCAGTGGGCAACAGCAAAAGGACCATTCATAGAAGCAAGATACCGATGTGGTAAGTTTTAATTCATGTCAGATTCCTCTTATAGCGTTTACCTTTATAATACGATATAATGATATCCAACTGATATTGTCACAACGAGTTCGAACGTCAGTGATGTACTGTCAAAAAATCTGATGTGTCCAACACATGACTTTCCTATCTAGTTATTATAGGCTTTTTCCGGTTATTTTGTACAACCTATTGCAGCACCACTATGAATGTTTAAAGGATAAACCAAATATATACATTTTCCACATCTACCTCGAAACATTTTTCTACAGATATTCATTGAAAACGATAATACTGAAAAATTTAAATTTAACACTTTTCCTCCAATTTTTCCATTACGGTCCATTTTAGAAAAATCATTTATAAACAAAAATTATAGAGATCGATATCGCAAACAACTTTTATTTCAACAATTTTCATGAAAATCAGAATTTTGCACATTTTGTCAAATTTCTCGAATACGGACCATTTCAGGAAATTTTGACATAAAGCAAAAATTATAGATAATAATATTAAAAGTAACTTTTATTTGAACAATTTTCTTCTCCAAACATAAATAACCGATATATTCCATAAAATATAAAAACAGCCTCCCATAAAGTACCCCCCAGATGTTCCGACTTTGTCCAAAATCTAATCACTTCACGTCAGGCCGAAATAAAACTTAAGTTTAAAATTTAATGTTTTTTCCTTTATCTGTTTTTGAGTTTTCTTCAAAATTCGATATTTACATATTTTCTCAAATTTCTCTAATACGGTCCATTTTAGAGAAATT